GATGGTACCACTAACAGCTGTCGGCAACGGCTAGCCTCCCAAGTCCAAGATTTCAGAAATGATTTCAATGACGGCACTTTGATACTTTATGCATCGTTGCCTTGTGTTGGAGGTAGCCCATGGGGGAATGTGAATGGCCTTACTGTTGAGGGTCAAGAAAGAATCAAAGAGCAACAAAAACAGTTTACCAAGTTGTTCAAATCTTTTGTCAAACTTGTGGATGAAGTTTGTGATGAACGAACCTTGATAGCATTTGAACTGTCCAAGAATTGCAAATATTGGAGATGGCCGATGGTTAGAAAATTCCTCATAGAACGATCCATGACTACTCATCACTTTGATGGTTGTATGTTGGGTGTTCTTGGAAACAACGGTCAACCAATGAAGAAAAGTTGGACTATTGCAGGAAACTTCAAAGAACTCGAAGTGTTAGACTCATTCAAATGTGATGGCAAACATGAGCATGATCAAAGTAGGGGCAAAGCCCTTAAACTTGCTGAGAACTATACCTTCAAGTTGACTGACATGCTCCATGAGTGTTTCCGGGTAGCTGTGGTGGGCCAAACATCCAAAAGGATTTCACCCGCTGTCATTCGTGCCTGTCCTGCTAAAATGGCTGACTCGCGATATGCCACAGCACACCCGGCCAGCCGCGAGGCTGCGCTCAAAGCCACACGTGAGGCTAACAAAGAAGCATGGTTGCTCCTTCACAATCGCATTTTGTTTGCATTGGCCATGCGCAATGAAGGTGAGAATCAGGCTGCTCAGGACCTCGTGGATGGACTGATGACTGAATGGACGCCGGCTTCGGCCCTGAGGTTCTACGGTCGAGAGGATCCGCTTGCAGAATACCTTAGCTTCTGCTTTTTGCCAAAGGAGTCCCACATTGAGAAGATCATGTTGCCAGAGATGCCCGTCAATGATGTAATCTGGATCTTAGTCTCTGACTCGTCATGTGCATTGATAACAGGGCGTAGGAAAACACTTAAGAAGTTTGACCTGTCCGAGCATTACCGGCAGCGCAAGCCTAAGTATGTGACTGAGTTCATCCATGAGATGCTTTGGGGCAAGACTCTGCAGAAGCTGGTCAAGCGTGGGATTGAATTGGCCGCGGACGCCCGCGAGCGCTATCCTGATGCACGCATCAACCTGCATTTGTCCTGGTTCGGAAATGAATTGGTAGGAGAGGATGGGATTGCCCAAAATCCAAATTGGCCGTACGACGGCCCCAACGGGCACTGGCCCACGATCCTGGATGATTGTGAGCGCCACTTGACATGGTTTGTCAACAAGGCCCGGGAGTTGGATTTGCAGTCGGCCGGTCTCACGACCGCGCCTTGGAGCGCAGATTATGGCATCCATCCTATCTTTGACCAGTTCTTTGATGTTTTGGAGCCCCGATTTAAAGCTCTAACCAGCAGCCTGCAAGGGCTTGCCAATCCGAAGTATCCGTGGCTGAGAGCAAAGGGGTACGCCGATGCAATGGAATTCAGAGACCAGTGGCATTTCGCCAACTCTGAAGAAAATCGCACGCGTCTTGCTGCCTATTGGACAGCTACCCTTTTCGCAATTGATTGCGGATGGCGGGTTGGCCGAATTGGTTTGGAGCTTACTCAGTGTGGCCAGGAGACATGGGATGATTTGCGGAGGAACATGAGCGCCGTCCTGGACGAGCTGCCAAGATCCTATCAGGAGACATGTGCAAACATCACCAAGTTGCTTTTTGGAGAGTCCCGAAGACACATCACGCCGATGGGCAGGTCATTCACCAAGGAGGACGTCGAAGCTCAACAACCTGACACTGAGGACTACATCGACACCAAGACGATGCCTTCGGGCACTTTTGCTGAGCCTCCCAAAGATGACCCTCCAAAGGCCGCCGGCGACGGCGAGCCCGCTGCATCCAGCAGAGCAACAATCCTGGTCCAAACGGCTGAGGTCATGTTGAAGTCGCGGCCGAAAGCAGCACCAGCACCATTGGATGAGCCCGCAGATGACAAGAGAGCTACATCCAGCCAGTACCAGCCGCAGGCAACTGCGCGCTTAGAGGGACATGCATCCGGCCACGTGAAAGCATATTGGATGGAAGAGCATTTGCCTGAATACCAATATACAATGGTGACCAATGCAGACGGGGACGATGTGCCCGGTATCCTCTTTGAAGGTACGGCGTATGAGCTGGAGCTGATATCGGCATCCGACGTTGAGACCATTGCTGGCCAGACTCGTGTCGACAAGAAATTTTCTGATTTTGCGACTCGTGTCAACAAAGTTTGCAGGGGGCATGGATCCTGTGCCAAGGTGCCAATGGACAAAGACCTTTGGATTGACTTGGAGGATTTTGCCAAGGCCTTCCGCAAGGAAGTGCCCCCAGATGTTTTCATCACTGTCGCAAACCTGTTTGGCACCGCAATGAAGATCGACAAGCACGGCAAGAGTAGGTTCCAATTCTTGTGTGCAAAGATCTCCCATTTTCCTGTCGACAATGGCCTAGGCATGCCGTATTATCCTGTGAAAATCCGTGCAATTCAGGGTCATTCCGAAGCTGCCTTGAAAACCGCAGGGGGTCTTTATGCCAATTCAACCATGGTGTATTGCTCAAACCAAGTATCCCCCGAGCGAAAAGCCGCCTTCACTGGCGTGCCCTTGTGTGCCATGACTGAGGTCCCTGAGGTTGTCTTCCATCGCACGATGAGAAGCAGCTGGAAGAGCATCGCACAGAACGGCCTGATCCCAGGTGGCGGTGACACAGTCAACAGTGGCCGTGCTCACATCTACATGGCAGAACACTGTATCGGCACACAGGGATATCGATCTGGATTAAGAGCAAAATGTCCAGTCGAAGTCAAAATCGCAATGCGGCAAGCAGTTGAAACTGGTGTCATCTTTAGTCGCACAGAAATGGATGGTATTTTGTGTTCAGAACGCATCCCACCGCAGTTTCTGGTCAGCATCCCAGAAGAAGGACAGGTGCTTTGGTCCCGCGCCGAGAGCAATCTCGAGCCCAGCTCATGGACAGGCGCGGAATCAGCCTCAGCACCGAAATCCAAAGCGGTCACCCTGACTGCCCGAGATGATGCAAATGACGACCCAATGGATGACACCAGCACGGGGCGACCCGATGCCAAGTCCACTGATGATGATGCAGCCACTGCCCCAATGCAAGTTGACCAGCCGCCCGCAAGGACGCGCCGTGTTTACATTGCACCAAAGTACTGCGAACCTTTCATGGGCTCCTGCCCCCTCTGCCAGGTTGAGTACGTCAGTGGCCAAGTGACATGCACCACATGTGGATATGAGCCACTCCCAGTGGACGAAAGTGGCGATACAAAAGAGGCCGACAAACCCAACAGGAGGACACGCATCCTTGAACGGCGAATGCAAAGTCTCGCCGGGTTCGGAATGTTTGGGAAAATGAGCGGAAGCTTGCTGACAGCCTTGACGGATGAGCAAGCCAATCTGCTTCGCCGGGAACTGGGCCCCAGGGGAATCACATCCGTGGAATCAGCAGTCCTCAAAGACTGCCGCGACAGGCATCGACGTGCAAAAGCGCTGGGCTACGAGGACGTGGAAGACAGATACTCCAGCGACGTCACTTTTTGCGACCGCATCCACGGTGAGGGGAAGGACCTGCAGGACTGCATATTCGACGACATGTTCGCATATGGCAACCTCCCCGATCCCCCAAGGACCAAAGCTCAGATCTCGGCTGGCGTCGCCGCCAATGCCCAAAATGAAAACTGCTTATCTAAGTTGATTTTCATGTCCCAGCCTCGAGGTGTTGATGGTTTCCCAGTTGAGTCCCGCAAAACATGGAAGAAGGTCTGGGGATTCATGTTCGGCCGCCACATTTTTACAGAGGATGAATATGTCAGCTACATCGGTCGTCGTGGCGCATTCCGTGGCCTGTTGACCTGGAAGGGCACTGTCCAAGTTCCTTTTGATGGCACTCTTGAATTCCTCGAAAAGGTGTATGAGGAAAATCTTCCATTGGTTCGGGGAAACCTTGAACGCAAAGAGAAGCAGAGCGCCGCTGCAAAGGCTGGAGGTCCCGGAGGTCATAAGGCCGACCCCACGGTCGCGCCCACCACTGAGCGAAAACGCAAAGCCGAAGCTGATGCATCCGTCACCACACATGATGACACTGCCGCCTCAAGCTCTGCTCGCGCAGATGCCTCGCACGCTGATGCCCCAGTTGACCCCAACAATGCACCATTTCTTGCACCCGAACCACCAACATCCAAAGCAGGAGCGCGACCATTCTTGGAGCCTGAGACACCGCCCACTGCAAAAGCAGCAAGCACAGGAGTCACATCAAAGGCTGCAAGCTCCGGTCGCCCGGATGCCTCCTGGAGTTGGAATCGTGATCACTATGGTGCACGCCGAGAATGGAGTTTCTGGCGTGGGGCTTGGTATTACCGTGACGAGGCCGGCGGCCGGTGGATCTATTGGAACCGCAGGTAGACGATGATTTTCTTTTGTAGCATAGCGCAAGATGCGGCATGGTAATGTGCCTTCCTTGCAAAGCTGCGCTGGGTTTTACGGGCTTGAGCTTTTTAAAGGGACCTTTGAAAGACTGCATAAAAGTGATCAAAACCAACTAAAGAAATTTGGCTACCCGCGAGGGTATGCTCTTCTGGGTTATTCGTTCTCCGCAGTCGTCCCTGCTCGCCCGAGGGGGGTGTAAAAACTCCTGCAGTAAAACCATGTAGTGTATATATCATCGATCTACTCTGTAGCGTTGGTTCAAAACAGGACTAGCTGCTTAACGGTTGCGTTGCATTTTACCCCATTTCCGGTTGACCTGGTAAAATACAATTATAGAATAAGACGAATAAGCACTGAAATATTATTGCTCGTTGTACAATTGAAGGATGCACCGGATGCACCCCATTGGCTCAAAGTGGTTTTTCTGTGCGACCCTACGAACCTTGAAATCCTGCAGAGTGTGATTTGTGATTTCACTGAGGCCGAGCTGTTGGGAGACCTGCTTCCAGGAGATGTGGCGTATCCTGGCGACCAGGCCTTGATGTTTGATGAAGTACCATGAGGTACTATGGGGTACCATGGAGTACACCAAATTCGATCTAAGATGTCATGAACGGAATGAATTTCAGAACTAATTAAGACATGGAGTCCACATGTAAGTATATTTTATAGATCCTAATAAATCCTAATAACATATCTCGAGTATACAGCACCAATGACGCGATGACCATGTGTCCCCCAAAGCTTTGCTGCTTTGCAATCGCAGCTAATTCCACCAGGGACATTTGCAGTTGTCACTCCATATAGTATGACCAGATGTAGATGGGGACAAGTTGGTCGGCGGCTCGGATGACACCAGAGCCACTTCCAAATGTTGTGATGACATCCGAGGGAGCAACCACCCACAGTGCTGATCAACATTGCCTTTGAAAAAGATACGGATGAAACGGTGAAAATCCTGGCCACTGTGATGGGTGAAGCAGAAAGACAGTTGGACCCTTTCACAGCAACTTGGAACACATTAGAAAATGGTTAATGGGCATGTGTCAAATGGTATCATAGACAAATGGAAATATTAGTGTACCTTTTTAAACATCCCTATTTTGAATGATTTTTACCATGATGGTTTCGAATCTCTGTCGATACGTATTATATGCAGTGACAAGGTGATTGGGGTCTTTGACCATCTCAATGGATTGGCAGGAACTACCTATGATCCTATATGGATAATATCATGTAGTCTATAATCTTTCATTGTACTATAATATGTTTCATATATATATAATAATATAATATAATATCAATTATATTATATTACATTATATTATATTACATTACATTACATTATATTATATTGTATTATATTATATATATATATATATATATTAGGGCCCGGTATGGCCTCTTTATCAGCTAGTTTCTGACGTATACACTTTGGAATTTCAGAACCTATAAGTATATCAGCTGAAACTATATAGAAACTATATTGAAATTTCAGAAACTATATTGTGAAAAATCTTGCCAATGTTGTCTGGATACTCACATGTCACTTGTCACACAGTGTATAAAACAATATTTGAATAATATATTCAGTAAATAAATAACATAATTATTGAAAAAAAAACCGTCTTCCAAGTCTAGCCTTCGGGCCATTGAATTTTGATTCATTCATCTCCTTCTGAATATCACAAGCCAATTCGGAAAATCAATGGGGCGTAAAACAAATTGAAGCCACATATACATCATCACCTGGTGTCATGACACACTATTATTTGGACCACAGACACATAAAGCCAATCTGCTTCTGTCGGTTGAGGTGTGATAAGTGATATTTGACATGTCGTGTCATGTCACCTTGTCATATGCCATATCAGAGCCATATATCATATCATGAATCATATCATGTTGTTCATGTTATATCATATCATAATCATGTGACAAATGAGTCAGTCGTATCAATGTTAAAGATAGGTTAGAGTTTAAAGACTATAGATAACTATGACTATTGTTCTAACTACGACTATAACTATATAGTTATATATAACAGTCTTTGATGTGATTTGTGACCTATGGTCCATATTCTATGATATATGATTCTTTGATACGATGAAATGATATGACGTATGATTCTATTGTTTATTAAATGTTGTTCTTTGGGATTGCCTGATGTTGCAGTTTGTAGGCCTTGCGCGACTGTATGATGTGTGTTCAGTGCTTATGTTGATTCATGTCCATTCATAGGTTCATGTCAATTTCGGGGTTTGTGAAAAATAAACGAGTTTCTGGACACATGAGATGGGGTATCGCATTCGGGCCAAGATGTAAATCACTTCCATCTGGAATGTGCAGATATTTACTCAGCAACATTCTAAATCTTGACCCTGGAAACCTTAACCCTTCAGCCAATATAAAAAAAAAAATAAATAAATAAATAATTAAATATATATATATATATGTGTGTGTGTGCGTTGTTTCATGGCATTGGCCCAGCCCACCGCCCCTGATGAGCGGTTTGGTTTCGATGAAACCTAGCAAGTTTCACAAGCCCCCTGATTCTACACAGCCCCAGGGTTTCAGCATAGATCATGGCAGTTTCATTATATTCCTGTGATTCCTGTATGTTGCATGTTTTCTGATTTCTATTGAAACGAGGCTCCCAGAGACGGTCTCAGACGGTCTGAGACGGTCTCCAGCTCTCCTTCAGCCTTAAAGCCTAGCTTTATGAGATTTTCTGCGAGCCGCAGACTGGAAAGCATCATATTTTGGTTTCCTGCTTTAATCCTCACTTAATCCTCAGTTTGGAACTTCGCCCAATCCTCATTCCTCATTTTTCCGGAACCTCACCAAATCCTCATTCCTCATTTAGTCCTGATTTTGGAATCTCACCAAATCCTGATTCTTCATTTAATCCTCAGTCTGGAACCTCACCAATCCTCGTTCTCTCACCAAATCTTAGTCCCTCATTGAATCCTCCCTCATTGAATTCTCTTGCCTAGAATCTCACCAAATCCCCATCCCTCATCTAATCTTCATTCTAGAACCTCATGAAATCGTCATTCCTCAATTGATTAATCTTCTTTCTTGAACCTCATGTAACATCCTCATCATGTATGCTTCACTATCCTCATTTCTCATTGAATCTGGATTCTGAAATTTCAAAACGCCATCACGCATTCCGTATGAATTTTGATTGTAAGTATTCACAATATATTCTATATATCATATTTCTCATGATTTTATGATTTACATCATGTTTTAAATTTTAACATCAAAAAATATGATGACCCATGGTAGCAAAAAAAATGTGTGCTGAAACCGTCGAGACCGTTTCCTACTGTAAAAGTCATTAGGGTCAGAAACCGTCGCGACCGTTTCACACTAAACCATCCAAAAAAGTCGAAAAAACGGATATAGTCTGAGACCGTCTGAGACCGTCTGAGACCGTCTCTGAAAAAGGCCCCGACATGTTATAGTATGAAACCGTCGAGACCGTTTCAGACTATCCCAAATCGTACTATCATGATACAGTCGGAAACCGTCAAAACCGTTTCTACAAACACCATTTTCGTGACATTGATAATACATACATACATACATACATACATACATACATACATACATACATACATACATATATATATATTGTTTTTTCATTGTTTTTCACATTGTTTTCGGGGTGTGCATTGCAGTCACGAATCATGAATCATGAATGTGAATTTGATTTTATGCCTATGTTTAATTATACTATTTGTAACCTTTCACAATCATCACCATCCCATACCATACTATGAAAACAACATGATTATAATATGATCTCTTAATACAAGTGGCCTATTTTCCCCCTGAAATCTCCATATAGTTTCTATATAGTTTCTATAAAATTCCATATGGTTCCCATATAGTCTCAACTGCCAAAAATGCCCACAGACAAAGAGACCACACTTGGTTACAATATATATATATGTACACATGATATATGAGATTCCATGGTTAAAGAAACACAGGGTTTCCAACATTGAAGCCACCCGGTGGCGCCACATCTCAGGTGGTCCTCAGGGATCCAAATGCCATTGAGAAGCGTGGCTCAAAGGGTGGAAACTCCTTGGATTTTTTTGGCAGTTGGGGCTGCATTTCCACAGCGTTGAGGGGGTCCCACCAAGACCACAGAAAAAAATGACGGCGGTAGATGTCCGTTTTGATGTCTGTTTTGAATGTGTTGTTTTGGGTTGGCAACTGCCAGAGTTGCCTAAGGAACATGTGTCGAATTATGTATTTCCAATGCGGTGTTGGGGCACATCAGCAGCGTCTAAAACTTTCCGATGGTCGAATTCTTCAGCTGGAGGGTTCTGACGCGGAGTCATTGGTGTCTTGACTTACAGTAGATTGATCCAGGACCGCCATGGTCAACCAAACATGGCACGATCAAACGGACATTGTGAAGGGTCAAAGAGACTGACAAAGCCGTCTAGGAGAGATTGCGAAGCAATGGTGCCTCATAGCGCCTCACATGTTGAGCCACTTCCCAAGGCTGTCCATCACTATTTGTTTTGGGGACGTTTTGGGATGCTATGTCAATAATGCTATGTGACCTTGCTGGCTTTGGCGTCATGACTTCGCTGGTATTTCACACACTTATTGCCCTCAACCTGAGATGCTGAGGCGGACTTAGCAGGTGATTTGATCGCAGCTTTGTGAGCACCTACCCACATCGCTTGACCAGCAGATTCAAGGCTCGCCACGCGCCAATTCTGGTTGCTGGCAAGCTACAAGAGACAAGGGGAAAACACCAATTTATATAACTGTAATCTAACAATTGGAGTTAGTCCTGTGTTTTTCTGCAGACCTTCCCCTCTGAATCAAAAGAAGCAAGACTGAAAAGAAAGACTATAGAATGAATTATCTTGAGCGGAATGTCCTGATCCTCCATATCTTTCATATTGAATGTTTGTCTAAGGTTCTGACGAACGAAATTCACATTGCCTGTACTGTGTTTTGTTCTATGTTTGCGTGGTCTTGGCTTGCCGACAATCTTGCTGCATTTAGCTTGCCGAGAATCTTGCCGCATCCTTGGTCTACTACACACTGAGCACTCTACAGCCAAAGTGCTGTGGCTTCAGACTGTGGAAAAACAGCAGTGAACCACATCCAGCAAAACCATTAGTATCATCCAGTATCTATGATACAGCTAGAAAAAAAAACATATTCAAAAAACTGCAACATGCTGTACTTTGCGTACTACCCATCTCATGATGAAAAGTCTCATTCTGTTCATGTACTTTCCATGCAGCCAGGAGTCTTGTTCCACATAGGCAACAAGAAATCGGAGCAAGGTGTTGGAAATTGCAATTCATTTTCCACTTGCTGAACGCCATGAGCTGCGGTTTGATCATCAATTCTGTGCCACAATATGGGTAGATGACACACACACACACATATATATATATATATTATATCGTATAGATTCAATGATTCAATCGATCATTTTTTACAGCAAGAACCGGCAAGAACAGCAAATGAATCCACCCAAGAGGTTTTGTTCAAAATCGCACCAGCGGCCAAGGTTGGCTCGACCCCTCTGTTGGGTGCCGTTCAAGCAGGACATGCTGCAGTTGCATCTCGATGGAATGCTGAAGTGTTACCAGGGATGATGCAAGCGTGCTGGAATGAATAGAATCCCTTGCCCTGTTGATATTAAACACACCCCAGAAACCATGCTTTACTAGGGGATTTACACATATTTGGGACCATTTAGGGGGGTGTTTATAATATTAGGGGGATGGGATTATAAGTATGCCTCAGCCTTTCAGCAAGGCCATGACTTGTAATCAAATGCATCACATGGTCCCTTGAACAGCCATGTCAGTTTCAGCTTCTGCCAAGCAAGCAACCGTCAGATGTTGATTTAGGCTGAACCAGTTGATGTGAAAGGAAGGACCAGCGTGTTTGAAAATCAAACTACCCGGAGTAGCTTCCCTGAATCCACCACAAGCCAAAAAGTTGGCACAAATTGTAGCGTCAGTCTATTTTGAGATGTTTTTCCCCTAAGGGACAAAGATTAAGTAGAAGTTGCTTGTAGACCAACTTGAAGCCATGTGAGACCACATCGAAATGACTCATACTCTCCTGTATTCCTCTTGCCATGTGAGGTGAGATACCTCTGCGAGGCGAAGGTGTGGCGACCTGGTTCAGCTTCTGATTCATTTTGTCTCTTACGTGAGCGCATTCCTATAGCGTTCTACAGCTTGTGCGACTGCTCTAATTGACGTACCAGGCACAATTCGAGAAGAACTGTGTCACCCAAGAGCGTCGCCCACTCAGGGACCAAGCACGAAACACACAATCAACATGCATCACTGCACTGGAGTGAGAATAAAATGATTTGCAACCAATATCAACCAATCCTCTTGCTCAAACTTCCCATGATGTGTTTATTCATGTTTACTCCCATGACTAGCTGCTAACAAATAGTAACATGAATTGCAGTAATTATTACAGCCACAGTCATTCCAGGCGTGGAACATCAAATTGACTTCTCTCGGATGACAACCGAAAACAAGGATTTACAAGATATGTTTGACTCTTTCCAGTGGTTCTAACGCATCCTATGAAACCATATGAAACCGAACATGGAATGTTCCTGCCAGCAGAATTCATTGGAAACCAAGGTGAGACCTGTTTGATGTCCGCTGTTTTGCGAAATCACGTGGAGGTCCCGGGATAGAGACTCGCAATGGGATAGGCAACAGAAGCGATATCCATAGCGAAGCTGCTTGGTGGTTCTTACCATTTCCATCTATTTCCATCCTACCTGCGATGATGATGATGCCACATGATGCGTAAATTATGCGATTTTGGGATGTCTTGAAACGACAAGTCAATTTGTGGTTCTGACTCAGCCCCTCCAAGGCCAAGGTTCCCCCAAATCTGCACAGGTCGTACGGGCTCTGTGTGATGCTGGCGTCTCTCCGACTTTTTGAACCCCTGCCGCGATACCCGGATTGGGGATAGACATGACATACACTCTCGACATCTCTCGACCATCGCGTTCTCAGAGCTGCCGGATTACGATTTCATCCATCCGGTGTCCGATTCGCCGGTGGATAGTTTATGATAGTTTGTTGATTGTGGAATTCCGGAGAACCAATCTGACCAATGCCAGGCAAATCCTCTCTATCCTGCTGCAAACGGAGCAACACCTTTGCCTGGGGACGTAGCAGAGTGATGCTCCGCAGTTCAGAGTCCAAAGGCCTTATGCGTTTTAAATATCTGATATGTTTCCCACACATTGGTTTGCTTTTGACTTTGTACGTTTCGATCACCTTATTGCAATACTTCACCACTCAGAGCCTTCTGCTTTTGGTTTTTCCTGATGCACGGTACAATTTGAACATCCAGGTTTGTAGCATTATTCCGTTCCCATAATCCGGAACATTTTAATGTCTTACCTTAAGCAAGTCTTAAGTCTTACCATATATTTCGCACACGTTGTCATTGGTGATTCCGATTGGTCATCCCCGTTGGTGATGTTCCCAGGGGCCATGACACCCGCACCAAGGTTTGCTGCGGAGATACTGGAGCTTCAAGAAATTGTACCTCAGTGGAATGATGAAGATTGATGATCCACAGATATGATCTGTGTAATACATGAATACATTATTCAATGATATTCAATATTATTATTCGTATATACATATATAATCATATATATAATCATATATATAATCATATATATATAATATATATATATATATAATATATATATATATATAATATATATATATAATTATATATATATAATTATATATATATATATATAATTATATATATATTCGATTAAATGAATATGTTATATGTATAATTGTGATTAATTATGTATGTATGTATGTATGTATGTATGTATGTATGTATGTATGTATGTATGTATGTATGTATGTATGTATGTATGTATGTATGTATGTATGTATGTATGTATGTAATGTATATATGATATATGTCAAGAGGATATGGACTTGACGAAACAAGGTGGTAAGGCTGACAGGCATTAATCAAGTGAACTTTGTTTTCGTCCGGGAGTACTTGTTTCTGAGTGAAGTGGTCTGGTTGAGCCATTCAAAGACGCAGACAGGAAAACAAAGAACGAAGACACGGATGCGCTCGAGCACATCAACATACACACAGACACAGGCACTCCATGAATATTCAAGTACCCCTTCTCTGCACATTTGCAGATGCATCCTTGGACGCATAGCTTTGGAAGCAGTACTCAGTACTCGTATCATGTGAAGACACTTGCACAAGGATATGGAGGAATTGGAAAGTCACAAGGGTTGGCAGTTGGCATTTTCTACGTGATTCTTGCACATTGCTGAGGTGAGCATCATGCAACAACACGTTGGGAACTTGGATGAACCCCTTTTGTATGCGTGATTCCTTGATGTACACAAGGAGGATGAGATACTCCTTGCATTCTCCCACATGTTCCATGAGTCCAGTGGCTAAAGCAGCTCAATGTCATCACAAATTCTGATAGAACTGACTTCGTCACTTCGTCTTCGTCTATCGCGAGTCCGAGGCGACAAAGGGCTGGCGCCGTGTTTTCCGTTTCTTGGTGACACGTAGATTGGCTTTTGTCAAACCGCTTCAGCACTGGCTTCTTCACCCAGGGCTGACGATTTTGGTGTCGTATGGTGTCGTGGGTTGCACCCATGTTTATAACCTTTGGGCCCGCGTTCGTTGTCTAGCGATGATGTGAATGATGTGAACAGTTTGGTTGATTCAAGAGGAGAAAATGATATAAGATGATATAACTGATATATCTATAGAGCTATACAATAATCTATACTATACTATAGATGGACGTAGGATGATGTAGGTATGCTATGGATTTCTATGGTATTCATTGGTATTCTGGTATTACTTCGATGGATTCTTCCATTTCGATTTTGTTCGAGGCCTTCGGTTCAGATCGTGGTGACCCAAGGTCTGGGATGCTGCCGTCGTGCTGAGAGTACCTTGTGGCGCTTTAGATGGAACCTCCGAGACTGATCCGCTGAGTAGGGTGATCTTTGTGCAAGCCGCTGCAAGCCGCTGCAAGCCGCCCTGAGTCTGCCTTTCATATCCTGTGCAATTCTACAATGACTATAATTTACTATAATATGCATATGCGTTTATATCCATTTTTATCCACTTCAATGAAATGGAATGTGATTCCATCAAAGCAACTCATGGCTTGAGCCTGCTTCGATGTAGGCCCCTTTTTCCGTGTGCCTTCAAGTGCTGCTGGTTGTGTCTGAACAGCGGGCAGGGCTAGAACAGAGTCAGCAGGCACCTCAGAAAGAAACATATCGCTATCTGCGCACTGTTTTCATTGCTCATGCAAAAAGCTGCAGAGGCTTCCGGATTGCATTACATATCAGGATATGCACAAGGCTGAGGGAGTTGAGAAACATGTTTTCCCGAAAGAGTCTGGTGAGTGTGGCTTTCTTGATGTATTTGTGTACGTTTTTGTTTCCTCATGGTTCGCATTCTCTCTCTAGAGTAATCAGACAGATTGACTCAAACACCTGCTGGGAAAAAGTGCCAAACCAGTTTCTTCTTCCTGACAAGCTGACAGTTTCCACTTGACAACTTTGCTGACGAGAGAACTTATCCACAGCCCAAGGCAATGTTTCCAAGGCAAGGTTTCCTTTTTCATCCAGCAGCAAAAACTAGAACATCTTAAAGACTTAGCATCCACAACAAGATCTCTGAGATAGCAAAGGCTCCTTTTCTTCCTCCATGATTTCTGCCAACATGTGTTCTTTTTTTTCCAGCCAAAGGAGAGGCAATTGGAACAGATTCGAACGGGATTTTCCTGCGGAATTTCCGGAAATTCTTGCCAGAATCGTGGCCATGGCGACGTCGGCAGATGTGAAACGACTTTTTGGGAAGTTCGCAGACCATCGTGGCCTGGTGGAACGTGCCTGGCTGCTGCGGGTGGTTTGTGGAGTGGCACCAATGCTTTCTGCGTGGCTTGGACATCTCTGAGATTTGTCGGATTTTTTGGGGGGAAGACCATGGAAAACCAATTAATGGAAAACCACCATAGAAAGAAGTTTGAAACCATTTCGAACCTCATTTTAAATGTGGAAAAAGTGCAATTAGGATTAATTCCGGGGTGCCGGCCCTATTTACAGACACATTTGACTCATGTTCGTTCCATTCTTTGACACCATTTTAATTAAATGACTACGTCTTGGACATGCTTCATAAACACAACTTGATGATCTTGATCAGTTCTTTCTTTTGTGAATGAACATTTCAAGTTTTTAGACAGCAGGACAGCACAGTTTTGAATATTTTTGCCGTGGGATCTACTGAGGAGACAGGTAGAGATCCTGTTTTCCAAGCTCTTGGGCACTGCTCCTTCAATCGAGTATGATGTTTTCGTCGATGCCATATTCGCACAAAGGTGTCAGCAGGCGATGTTCAAATTCAACATTTGGGTATAAGGGATCCTGGAGACATTTTAAATCACATTAAAATACATTCATAGAATTATGTTGTCAACATGTGTCAACATATTTGCTGTCTGGCAAGAAAGGATTCAATCCTGATTCCTTTGCAGGCTGATCCAGGTCCAGAGACGAAGTTGCCATCGGAGGTTGGGGCTCTGCTGTTTTTGTGGTACCCAAATCATCCATTTTTTGGGGTACCCGCATTTTAGGAAACCTCTTATATAGTTTCTTTTCCTTGGACATGAAGCCATCACAAGCGATATGGACTGCAAGTTCTTCGATAGCGGGATAAAATCGCCGGCAAAGCCACATGTTGAATGAACAATCGCACAAAAAACACGAACCGCTGCGGTAATTGCTCTGACAGGCTTGCAAAGGAGAATTGGTTTCTGCATGCCACATGTTTGGAGTGTATAGTGCCTGTGCAGATGACAACGACATACAACGACGTACAACGACAGTGTTGGCAACGTTCCACCAAATCCAAAGATACTGTTTGAACTCACAATAAGAAATCATAATATGAAATTATATCAAATTCATCAACTTTAGTCTCAAGCAGTCTCATGATCCAGGGTTATCAGATGTTATCAGATGCTATCAGATGTTATCAGGGTTTCATTTAAATTCCAGGTGATTCTACGCGCCGTCACCACACGCAGTGACTGGCAGCTGCCATTGGCCTTGGCGCCTCTGCGGGAACAGCTGGAAGTGCTGGGAGCCAAGGCTCCAGTGTCTGTCATCATGGAGATGGGCTCCGAGGTTCGGATTGAAACAAGATGAATATCAATTGATCAAGGAATCATCAGTGAATCATCGAGATATATCGAGATTTAAGATGATGGGATTCAATAATGAGTTATCTGTTGAAACACTATGATAGATCTTGAGTTTCAATATGTGAAAAATGGAGTCATCAATTATTTGTGAGGTATTTTTTGGGATTGATAGGATGCTGGTAGAATGTGCAGAGCTGTTGTAGATAACGTTGAACCATGTTGAACCTAAAAAAATCCGTTGAAGCTGTTTGGATCTGTTTGGGATGCGCCTCAAAGCTGACACCGCCATGGCCAGGCGTACATTGCAGTTTGCAATGCCGAACTGAAGGAGCTGTGCCGTGCTGCATCTGTGGATCGCCTTTTGCAGGAGCTCAAATCCTGGAAACGCATTCCAGACGCTGAAACACGACGTGAAATATGTGAAATATGTGAAATACGACGCTGAAATACGCTGAACCAATTTAAGTCAATCCAGTGGCAACAATTGTAGAACTGGAGTGCTGGTGCAGATTGGCATGGAATCATGGAGATGTTTGGATGACATTGTTTAATCAACCAGCTAAGAGTCAACCTCTTGTTCGGTTGCCAGCCTGCCCACCGGCAGCAATCAGCAATCTGTGATAGTGCCTAGTTGGGCCGAAGTCTTGCCTCCAGATGATGTTGGAACTTGGAACATAAAGCTACAAGTAGCGCTGCAAAACATGTGCAGAACTGATCCAAGCGTTGGCCTTATTCCACTGATTCTCCGAAGAAACTCATGGATATGCTTTCACCACTGTGAGACATAAGGTGATAAGATGAAGGATTCGGATGTGGTGGATTTTATAACGGTAGATTGGTAGATTTTGAACACACCGTGGAATGCAACAGGTTTCAACTCCAGACGATTCTCGCTTGGCAGCCTGTGAATTGAAGCATAATGAAGCATATATGTATGCATATGTTGCAAACATTTGCAAAGTATATTCTCTCTAATTCCTGACCAAAGTGCCTTCAACGCACCATTGTGTATTGTATTGTATTGTCAATATCATATCACTTGCATGCAACTACCCGGACATCATGTTCAGCAACCATTGATTGAATCATCTTTTGGATGGCTTCGCTCGCATTTTCACCTCCTTACCTCAGTGGCAAAATTGTGCTGAAGAGGACCAGTCTCACAAACTTAAAATTGCGTGGTTTGTGCAAATCTCGCGCGACGTTTCAATCACAGAAACAAATCAATCAATAGTGCAGAGTGCACCCATCCTGTTGCGCCAACATTTTGAGCCTGGGTCCAGTCGTAACATCCAACAAGTTGCCATTCTACTGGTGAGAGAGCATCACCATCCAGATGTTTCTTAGTTCCTCCAGGCAAAGAGGTCGAAAGCTGCAACGACTCAAAAAGTTGGATCCTGACTTCACCAAGGCCTCGATGATGGGTGAGATATGCTGGTGGATATGGTGGATATGGTGGATATGGTTGTTGTGTGGTTGCCTTGTCCAGCCCAAGTATGCCCCATAGATCTACCGTGATCAATCCATAGATCTACCATTGCGCATGCGCCCTGAAGGTCATGAGCTTCGTACAGAAGCACAGCGAGACAGCCATAGGTGCGGGAAATCAGAGGGGACCTTGGAACCTTGGGCCGCCCAAGGGCCCAAGGGCCATGGCGGCATGGCACAGATCACCCTGAGCCCCTCGAGCCCTCGAGCCTCTCCTGTCACATCCTGTCACCGATTGCTTACTCTGCTGATCCTTCCTACCACCATGTCACAGTGCGGCAGTATATTCATCAGTTTAAACATCTTTAAACCGTTTATTGAAGACTGAATCACCTCCATGAAATGTTCATCTTTCATGTCATGATGTTTCTCTGTGGTTGTGCCGTCGTTCCAATGAGCAAAGGATGGAGGCCTCTGGCCAAATGGTATCGACTGGTGCTGATTTGGCCCAATGTGGCAGCATGAGGTCTATATTTTGGCTGAGATGCCACAACTGGCCCTGGTGGATATCTGGTTTTGAAGGGGGCTACAAATTGATTCAATGATAGTAGACATAGGTGGCAAAAGTGGACTCTGGAAACACACAATTGGTGATAACTCTTCATACTTCCAGAATCTTCCATAGCAGAGCTTGAACCAAAGATGGACGATATTTGGATTATTTGGTAGCTTGTGACCTTTGTTGTGTGGTGGTCCTCACGGTGCTTCATTTGAAGGTAGGACTTCTGGCACAGCACCAAGCCATGTTGCTCCGACTCTTTGCCGTTCTCTGCTTGAGCTTGGCAAGAACTGCTCCGATTGATGTCGATTCACATATGAGCCTTGATGAATTTATAAAAAAATTATATATCTGTATACTAGCTTAGCCATTGAGCCGAGGTGTTTGATTTTTCTTGTCATTCCATGTCTTTCGTCATACTCTTGCACTAAGTCATGGTCTGACCGTGTCCTCACTGCGACCAGAGCAGTGGCCAGGGTTTGCTCGGCACCACTCATCGTAGGAGCCTGTGGTGAGAGATGCAACAACAATAGACACTTTCAGGATCGCTTTAGAAAAGCAAACATGAATAAACACAAATGGACCACAGAGCCAAACTCCATGAATTAACCATAACCGGCCTAGTACGTACAAAGTATTGTTTTCGCTTTTAATCATGTCTAATGATGAGTCGAATGTTGATGCTTGATGCAGCGTTGACAGCTTCAGGTCCTTGCTATTTGGCCATGATCGAAATCTCAGCGAAGCTGCAAAGTACATGGCACTGGCTGCAGAGAAGGGCTGTGGCCGTTGCTTTTTCTACCTGGGTGCGATGCTCGCCTTGGGTGAGCCAGAGACAAATGTCTCGGCTCGCTTCAAGGTCTTATCGGACGGGAACATCGAATTTCGGTGCCTTGATACGAATCGATACAGTCAGGAGAAAGAGATGATGAAGTGAGAAATCACAAGATTAAGTCGATAAACCATGGTAATGATCTTTATTTTGTTCATATTTGTCTACATATACATATGAATGATATATATATATTATAATTGCTAGCTTGTATAACATAATTATAACATAAAGTATGACTATAGTTGTATTACTATTATGAAATTTGGTACATGGATACAACGTGGTGCACCCGTTGGGCGTTTACCCAGGTGGGCACGTGGACTGGCTCGAGCCGAAGGCTTAGCTTCCAGCTCCATGTTGGACCGACCAGCCATCGCATACTACGTGGGTGCACAGAAGGGGGATCCCTTGGCAGTTCTCGCGTTCTCGCGCCTTGGCAACGCCACCGTTTGACACAAAGATACACACAGTTTGAAAGGTGAATGACTTGGGATATTTCTGGAGAATTCTGAAGAATTATTTGTGAAGTCTCCTGACTTTTAACAGCAACCACGAGTAATACCCATCTTTTGATCTGTTTTGAAGAAGTTCTTTTCCACATGGCAACGCCAACCCCATTTTCATTATATCTTCATTATATCTCCAGCTATTTCTAGATATCTCCAGACATCTCCAGATATTTCCAGGTACTACGTCCTAAATCGTTTGACCCTGGGATCCCCCGGAGCCGCCTGGTGGATCGCCGGCGAGCGGCCGCAAGCCACCCATGCCTTGCGCCGCAAGCCATGGAGAGAAGAGGCGACACCTGCGTAGCTGGGCGGAAGTGGGACTGGGAACCAGGAAAAATGAGGATCTCACCAGATCTAAGCCATCAAAATGGACAGATCTTGGGAAACTCATTGAAACTAAGAATAATCCCTCGACCCCTAACATTAAACGTCCCCACACCTCGCAAATAATAAAGCCTAGGGGTAGTTTTTATTGTTGGGGGGGATTCAATATTCGGGGGAGAACCTTAATCAAAAAAACTAAATTGTGCGATTTCAAAATCAATTAATTTCCTTTTTAAAATGTAATTAACATATTGCCAAAAAAATGGTTTTCGAAGCTTTAATATCAAATTTAAAACGATTGAAAAAAACTGTTGTTTTTTATTTTAACAAACGGACCCTAATAAAAAACACACCGGGGCTAACTAGTTTTTATTAAGAGGGTAGAATACCTTCAAATGGACCTTGATTTTTAAGTTGTTTTCTAAAGGGCATCAATTAAAGTCAAATTGGCCAATCTGAAATTTCCCAAAACAAAGAATCTGGGATTGTTTTTAATTTTTAGGGGAGGTTTAGTAATAGCGAGAAAGGATTGTCTAAGAATGATCTTAACTAAGTAAGTCCTATTTCCAATCCATCAAACAGCAATTTCCATATGGGGATGTAGCATGATGTGGCAATCCCTCATGGCAGGATGGTGATGATGGTGATGATGGTGATGATGGTGATGACGATTTTATTCGATGGCTGTGTGCAATGATTGTGCAAACAATGCGCCGCTGCTCAGCGTTGCTGAGGCTCTGCCAATTGATTCTACGTACTTTGGAAAATGTGGCAGAAACCGCCGCTCGAAATGAGGACTTGGTCGATGTCGATGTCATGGAGAGAGTACATGTGTGTGTAATGTTTTGAAGCAACTTCATCCAAGGCATTCAGACCTGTTTAGTTTGTCTTTGGACCTGTATATCATGTCTATTCCTCAAGTACCTGATTGAATACTCTCATAATCTTTCATGTATGAATGGTATGTTAGCATGTGCCAAGTGCAGCAAACCCATGGAACATCATAGAACCACATCCAGCAGCCTTCAAAATCTTGCGGGGTGCATGAATTCAACAAAGTGGAGTTTGTTGGCTCGTCTCCAACGACAGACGTCTTGACTCTTGATCATGTCCTGCGGGATAGATCTTGTTCTTGGCTGCACTTTTGCAGGACGGGGCCACAGATTCAAGTGATCTTCACTTCTTTGTGCAAAATGCTAGCGAAGTACAACGTGCCAAAAAGGAGCATGCAGAGTCTTGACCTTCAAGGCCAAGCCAGCCGCTTTCTGGAGCTGCAGCTGATTATATAGACTGGAGCAACACCGTTCGAATCGAAACTTCAGATCACAGTCTCCAAAAGTTGTCTCCCCTTTGTCATCTGTCACAATCTGTCACCGACTGGAAGAAAAACAGCAAGACATCAGAGATCCCCATGCTTAGCCAATGCAACGGACTGCTGCTCAGGACTGGATTCGAGCTCGTTCGAAGGATGGCTACAAGGAAGCTGAGGTTGTCGAAGCCGCGTCCTTTGGTTGAGGGAGAGATCTGGCATCTGGTACCACAGGAACATACAGGAACATACAGGAACCACAATTTTGGATGAATTGGTCTTTTTTCAATTGATCCATAAGGTTGAATGTTGTGCTGTGCTCATTCGAGCATTTAACCAGTCACAGATCTGGGTTTAATCTCATTGCCGAGACAGCCAACATCCATAGTGCCAACAACACTATGGATCACTGAAGGCTCAAACAAAAACACTGTCACAAGGATTGGTAAACTGACCTGCCTATGAGTCCAGCCAAATCATGCAAGCTTTGGATAGGAGTCTGAATTTCTTCAGTGCAGAGTTCCCCCACGAGATAGATTCAGTACTGCCTTGTGGCTCCCTTGTCAGGTATTTGTTTCCCGGTGATGCAGATTTGAACCTCACCCGAAACGTCTCACGAGCTCTCGAATTGTTTGATGCTGCTGCGAGTACAACCACAGAAGCTGCCTGGAATTCTATGCTGTTGCTTGGCACCAGAAAAGTAAGAAGGTAGTTCGAGAATGTTCGAGACGCATTGCACGCATGATGACTCATTTTTTATAATTACTGTACGGAAATATAGTGACTTTTTTGAAAGTTAAAGTATAATGCTTTACTTAGTGTGGCCTTTAGCTTTGCAGCATAGGCGTCAGACTCGCCAAAGCGACACATTTTTGCATCTGCGTCATTTTTTGACCAGTGGCTGGTTTCCTCTGGTGTCTTAGGTTGCATGCGCGTGAAGGGCATGAGTCAAAGATTATCCAACATGCGCAGAACATTATTCAGGACCGAGAACACCTGAGCCTGAAACTTGCGAAGTTGATTCCAGATCCTTCAAAATTTTGAAGTTACTGTACATATTACAATATATCTCAATAAATACAGACAAGACTCTGATCCTTTCCGGTTTTGCACATCACGGTACGGCCGCAGGATCCAGACGCAACAGCACTGCAGAAGACCATGGCGCAGCATTACCTCCATCGTTTTGGCGCTGACGACACACGACCCAACAGCACGCGCGCAGGGGTGTACTTGTTGGCAGCCGCTGAATTAGGAGACTCCAATGCTCAGCAGATGATGCTTGGTGGCATGGAACATGGCTGCTTACAAGAAACGCCTAGCACCTCTGAGGACACATCTGGGTGTGGTTTTGGATGGCTTGACACCCAAAATGAATGAGTGGCTAGTTGAAAGCATGTTGATCATGATGGGGAAACGTTCATACTCGCAACAAATTTCTGCAATGCGTAATAGTCATCTCAAGAAAGTCAATCTTTGGAAGTGTAAAAAAGCCCTTCTGGGAGTAGTAGTAGTTGTTTTATCATGTTTTATCCAAAGGCCTGTGGGTTTGTTAATGTATATATATATATATAATTGTATATATATATGACATGAACAAATCTTCAACAGAGAGAGACAATGGGTCACCCTTGAGTCATCAAGCGGACTACCGTCCTACAGTATGCGACAGTGTGCAATAGTTGTTGTTGGATGCCGCTGTGCTGGACTGTGGAGATGGATGACTTCTTTCAGCGCTATGGATGCCCTGAAGTGGAGATTTTCCATAAATACCTTGAAAGAAGACAGATATAAATGATATAAACAGATGCATTAAACTGTCCTACTCAGTTTGATGATTTGGACAATCATCGCACAAGCAACTCGCTTGGTTTTGACATGTTCTTTCATTTCATTTTTGCGTTCGACATGCTCAGATCTTAAGGGTCCTTGAGTTTGTGAGCCAAAACCAAAGATTACCCAGTGACATCCAGTGACCCAGTGATCCCTGGCCACTTCCAGATCTTCCAGATCTTCCAGGATTGCTCATGCCTATGCAGGGCTAGAGCTCCCGGAGTTGGAGAATGTCAAAATCCCTGGTGCTCCCAATACAAAGCGGGCCATGCATTTCTACATGAAAGCCGCCAAGCAGGGAAGGCTGCTCGGTGAAAGTCGAATTTATCTGTGCCCAAGCAACTGGATCGATCCCTGAGATGGACAGATTTTGCTCGGAACTGCATTTGATTTGGAAGGTTTGGACATCAATTCTTGGAGCTTCTTTTGCCCTGAAGTACATGCGTACCTTTCATGTTTCATTGGGCTTTCTCTTTCTTGATACTCCGTACTACGTACCTTTATATTGTTTTGGGTGTGCTTGACAGGTAATTACTACTTGTTCAAGTGATGATCGGTTTTCACCAATTTGGTGATTGCAAAGAATAGCTGTCGTGTATTACTGTATGTCGCATATTCTGCAGGTGGCATCAACTGGTGGCATTACTGAGGCCCGTCTCAGCCGTGAATGCCGTCTCTCTGATGTTGCGTAACCCAGAAGGCCGGGCCGGGAGCCTTGGGGGGAGCCAGCGTTTGATTACTGATATATTCAATATATTCCTTCAGACAGCATTTTTTTCCGTATTGTTTTGGGATGCCTCATTTCAAATTTTAGCATAGCCGAAGCATGCCAAAGCTATGTCCTAGTTGCGGCAGATTGCAATTTTGCAAAGCTACAAACCTGGTCGACCATTTTGCCGCAGATTCTTTATGACATTGAGAGAACACTCAACATAAGTTGAAGCCTCTATTCATCCCATGGATGTGTTTATTCTCATTCTCCGCAACGATGATATTATATCATATACTTATTATATTTATTTTATAATTTTATATATATAATCATATAATGTATATATTATGGCTATAGCTATGTAAGGCTGATCCATACCCCGGGACCACATGCGATCCTCATGATCCATACCTGTGATCCATACCCCTTCAGAGGACATGATCCATACCTATGATCCATACCCCTGATCCATACAGTAATTGCAAATCCTGGGCATGTATTGTATTGGTTTGTTTCTGAGTTGTACCTATGGGATTCTTCAGTTTCTGTTTCACGCATTGCGTTTTGAGTGAGGGGTCAGGGCCAGCTATTTGATCTCTACGATTTAATTCGACGTCACGACGTCGCCCCCGAATTAACGAGGCAGAATTTTGAAACCAGGGGATATGTACATAAAGTATCTAACCCTTTGCCTGTACCCGATCCTGCTTGCTCGCTATTGCTACCATAAAGGATTTTATGTTTGTGTTGGTATGATGGCTCGCAATCTGCAGTTTAAAGTATACTTGGGGTTGTGAGGGGTTATGAACACCACAATATCCACCAAATCAGCCAAGGGTTATTCACAATTGGTTTCCGTTCCAACAAAAGGATTGAATTAGATTTTGAATCTACCACCAAAACAATCAGCCAGAAAATTTAGAAATTCAGGTCCATTACGTTCCATACCCCGATCCATACCCGTTCCATACCCGTTCCATACCCGAATCATGCCATGTAGGACCCATCCCCCATCACCACCATTTGTTGGTATTCAAGTGTATTCAACGAGCTCTTCTTCGAGCTCTCCCTCTGACTCAGATAGTGATGATTGAAAACGAAAGCGGGTCCGTACTTGCTCTTCGTGCCCCACGGGTCTGATGAAATCATTATATAGATATGTGCATATGTATTTCTACTATATATGTATAATGTATATGTATTTATTTCTTTATTTATAGTTATATCTGAATAATATTATTATTGATATTCTTATCCATGTAAGCCCTTATGACAAGGTCCGGATCAAAACGCTTGCTGACAACTCCTCGTTCCATACGTCCGGATCACCGCGGAACCATCCATACCCGTTTTTTGAGCCATACCCATATATCCCTACATGTCTCTCCTTTTGCTTTTCTGACATCAAGAGCAATTGATGTGCGACTGCTGCGGTGAGGTCAACGCTCTACGGCAGATGATCGCTGCCGGGGAGCTGTAGAGACGTTGCGAGATGTGGCCCTGGCATATCACCCAGTGCCTTGGGATCTAGCTACGGGGGCCTTCGAAGTTGTGAGTTGCTTGCGGTTGTATAGGATGTTGATGGATGTTGTAGGTATATTTGTGGAATTTGACTTTGAATGGTGTATTGACCGCTGCTCGTATGATTTTGTAGGATGTGTGCTGATGATGTTGTTGTGTTATAGTATTTCCAGCAACTGAAGCTGGTTGGCAATGGCCAGTTGCGGCCGTCACTGTGATTTTTACCAGTGAAGGCCTGATGGGTCAGTAACATAGTAACATCTATTTTCAGAGGTCTCCAGATGTCTCTGTATTGCAAATATTGAATATTGATGAATATTGCTAGGAAGTCCTCCAGCTGCATGGTCGTGCTCGACATGCCTTTGACAGTGGTGATGAAGAGGGTGCCTTGATCAGCTTCGCACTTCTTTCAGAATCTTGGCAATGCTTGACGGACATTGGACTTGATGGACGAGATCTGTCCAGGTTCTTTGCCGGGTCTTTCACAGAGGTTCTGAGTGTTTTTGTTTGTCCATGGCACACATACACGGATGTCTACCTGGATGGGGCCGAAGAATACGATTCAACGCTTTGCAAGACTCGCTCAGCAGCACAACAGCTTGTGACGCTTTTCATTATTTTTGCATATTCTTGCTTTTTGCAGCAGTATTTCCATTCCAATTTAGCCTTTCCTTGCAACCAGTGCTTGCCTTCTTTCTTGTCTTAGCAGTCTTAGCACAATACCTCACGCACCAATTGGGTCTACAACAAAACGCCAAGCAAGATTTGAAACAGTGACTCCAAGCAATGGCCGTATTGGAAGCAGTCACTGCGGGGTGGACAGTAAGGGTGTTGATACGGCAACTCTTTAGAAAGGGGTCAGGCAGTTCTCCATCTTAGCCCATCATGTCCGTTCACCTTCAAAAGCGTTGATCAGCATAGCCAAGTGCTGATCAGCAGCATTGGTTGTGCTTTCGGCTTGCATGTTCCCTGCAGACAGCTGCTGCCAAATTGCTATAATTGCTGGTAGTTCCACAGAATCTCTCAACCTCTTTTCTTTGTCTTTTGCAGGTCCATTGACATATTTTGACATTGGTAACATTGGTAACCCATGTTTGACCTCATTACTCATGTATTTTGTTGGGTAGTGATCCGCTTTGGCTCAAACCTTAGCATTTGTTTCGACGCGAACTCGCCAAGCTTGAAGGCTCGCAAAGCGACCCTCTTTCAGCCAGTCAAACACCCGATTTGATCATGGCTGCTACTATTGTGATCGTGGCAAATGAGAAAAGGAGGAAGACAAGGAGAAAGTCGCAACTTAAGGGGGAGTCAGGCAACATGGCCCTAAATTGGCGAGACAAGTTGTCTTTTGCGACCCCAATGGCACACCCTCATAGTTGGATCAGGTCTCTTGCTAAATTTGGCAGTATAAAATGTCTTGATGCAGTGTAGGTGAGAGGTAAAGATGGTAAAGATGAAGCCTCCAGATGATGATTCCGCATGGCATCCCATGGCATCCCATGGCATCCCATGGCATCCCATGGCACCGCATGGCTGAAAGCTAGCACCATGCCTAGCATCTCACGAGCTGAGGCACGATGGAGCTAGATGCTGATAACGATGGCAACATCTCGCCGGATGAGTTGATGTTGGACTTCGGGGGTATCCACATGCGGGCAGACATCATGCTGGAGCGGATGAAATTGGAAGATGGACTACTTGGATTCATCCAACAGATACTCGGCATAGAAAAAAATAGAAGTATTAGAAACATGAGAACATGGACATTACGGATAGCTCAGTAGATTAGTAGATGATATAATATTGATCACTGATTCTATGATATTGATATATTGTAAGTATAATTAATTGGTATAGATACTGCAGTTTTTCGTTCATGTCACTGGGCTTTCCCACCACCAGGATGCCGCTCTTTTTGCTGTGCCTCATTTGCTTCCTGGTTGCCATCAGTATCCTAAGTCCAGCAGAAGAGACTTCTGCGATCCATCAACACTTGGAGGCGCACTTCGGCCTTGGGGATGTAGGGAACATCAAAGATGTGGCGGGAATCTATGCCTTTGTGACGGCCTTTGAGCAGAAAAACTTGGAGATGATGCCAACTTCTGCAGACTATTGGTGTGAACATCGATATTACCAATATGCTTGGAATGATCACTACCAGATTCCAACCTCTACCTGCAACAGCCCCAGGTACACAGCACTTGGTTTACAAAGTGCCCCAGTTTGGACCAACGGTAGTGGGACTTCAAGTTCCGGCCACAGGCGGTTGGCAGGATCTCACACAGACACAGATGGTCCAACGGCAACACATGACAATCCACCTTGTGAGGACAATGACACGGCCTACGCACTTGAAGAAGACAAACCCAACATTACATGTGAAGAGGATTCAAGCCACGCATGCGGCATTGATCTCGGCATCTTGCTTTGCCCAAAGACGTGTGGATATTGTGCTCCCTTTGAGTATGAGAGTTTGAAGAGGTTCGGAAAGCCGCAGCTTACACTGCTTCCTTCTGTCCTTTTCCAGACCCGTCTGGAAGAGACAGCGTGCCATGGCTTTGCAGCAACCATTCAGGTTCAGAACTACAATCCTTTGCTTTCCCTCTTACCCGCACTGGATGGAAAGAAAAAAGGCAACATCTTGAAATGCATTGACCGCAATCAACAACAGACGTCAGAGTATGCCTTGTATCTTGACTGTCCAGACCATACCCCTTCACACCGTTGCGTTGACGGAAAGGTTGGCATCGGTACCAAGCAAAGTTTTCATGGAGAGACAGTATATGCAGAGATGCTCATTGAAAGCAGCAAGCTCTTGACGGGAATGCAGAAGGTAGGATGGATTGACATCCAAACAGATCGGGTTTGCGTCAGTACCATGGTCTACACGGAAGGTGTGGAGATGTTCACTTCACTGACAGTTGAGTTCAGTTTTGATGAAGCTGGCAATGTGGAGGGAGCAGTGCACATGATTACCTATCGGGACCTGACCCGGGAAGCGGCCTCGGACTTTGCTGGCTGTTTGATCACAACATGTGTTGGTGCTTTCATTAGCATTGTGTCCCTGGTGGCCTATTTGTGCTGCCATCCAGAGCAATACAACTTGGGGCTGATGCTCTATGAGATCATCTCGCGCTTGGTTCTGTTCATCTACCCCTTGATCTTGCTCATCTCTTGGACGCAACAGCAACTGATGTCCCATGAGTATGACCTCCTGATGCAAGCCTTCATGCATAATGAAGGAATGGATGCTGAGCATGTGAAGCACAGCGTGGCGGAATATTTCAAGGCCGGGCATCACGAAGACTCACGAAGAAATCACTTGGACCATGACCAACCCATACCAAACAGATCCAGGTCATATCTCAGGGTGCTGCGACAGGTCATAGTATGAGCTGCCTCCAGTGATCCTCGTGCTGATGTGGCCCAACAAGTTCAAACAACCCCCCAAAATTCAAAAGCTAATCAACATTAATCAACTTTCCAGCAATATCCAACCTTATATGCTGAAACCGGAGAATCCAATCTCACGCAATGTGTCCAGGGGGCCCAGTGGGCCTTCGTCGCAGGTGAAGACTGTGATCTATGAAGAAGCCGACTGGCTGGAACGTCATCGCATCGCCGCTTACATTGTTCTCTATGTGCAGTTTCTGCAAATGGTGCTTGCTTTCAATGTGCACCCTAGGGTTGCAATGCTGACATCTACTATTCAGACACCTGGCGGGAGCTAGGAGGTGTTTTTGCTTGCCTTGTTGAATCATGTTGAATCTGAGTCTTTTCTTGTCACTTCATCGCAGATTTTTGGAGCTCTGGAGCTCACCAAGGAAGGCCTTGCACAACATGATGCATTTCTTCTTCGTCTTCGCCATCCTGTTTTTAATGCTCGCCTTCATGGCAAACTTCTTGCTCGGCGGGAGGATCCATCTATTTGGCACCTTTGGGGAAGCATGTTCCGCACAGGTTCGAATGCTCTTCGGAGAGTTCATATACGCGGATGGTGTGGAGGTGCTCTCAGGAACAGCTCTTGTGATGTATTGGCTCTACGCCATCTCATTCATGCTGCTGGGATTCAAACATATTAACTGCGTAGCATGTGGAGATGCATAATGAATCATAATGATATGCAGAAGATTGTAGAAGTCACTTACAGCTGAAATGCTGTTTGCAGTATCGTTCTGCACTTGAATGTTCTTGTTTCTTTTTGTTCCTTTTCTGTGTGTTTTGATATGCTTTGATGTGTGTTGAGTCTGAGGTTGATTGTCTTCTTCACTTTGCTGAACTTTTTCTTGGCAATCATTGTGGATGCCTTTGTGGATGTCAAGAATTACACCGGGGAGTTGCGGGTCACGCAGAGTTTCTTTAGCGACCTTTGCTGGATGCCCTGGAGCGCATACCTCCACAGGAAGTTCACGGGCTCAAGCTTCAGTCACAATCGTTAGTTGCTGTTAGTTGCCGTTAGTTAAATTATGTTTCACTCTTGAATCTCTTGATTAAGGATTTATGGTTGATTTACGTTGAATTACGTGCAAACAATAGATTTGTCATTTGTCATTTTAGATTCATGCTGTTTATTTGAAGAAAGAATACTGTAATTCTTGATCTTGCACTTTGAGTTCAAGTCTTCTCCAAGTTTGCCAATATTCTCAAGCTCTCCTTTGCCACTTTGAGGTACAAGCTGCCTCCCAGGAAGAAGCTGGTGAAATACTTCACTGAAGCTTTGAAATCCTACAACTCTGCTGAGAAAGGAGCAGAAAACAACAGCGGCTTCCCATTGCTTTCAGCCCGGGCACTGATCGAAGAGTTTGGTGTTGAAGAAGCTCCTATATGCCAATGGCTGTGTCACATCGAGAAACTCAGCACGGTACCATTGATTCACTACCACACCAGTGATGAAGGAGTGGCATCACGAGAAGTGGGAGAAGTGGTGGAGAACCAGCATGAACCAGAAGAAGCAGATGCGAACACCGTCTCCGACCAACGTTCGGAGCCTCTTTGTGCCCAAGTTGTTTGAAATATGTGTGAGCCGAATTCAATTCTTTGCCGGGTATTTGGCAAACGTTTCGTTGCATTTGGCCAGTCTTGCAAACGCAAGTGTCAGAGCTTCAGTCCGCAAACGCGGCAAAGAGCGCAGCGTTGCTTTGTTTGTGCCTCACATCCTTCACCAATGACCCAGTGATACCCAGTGAACTTTGCTGTCTGCAGCTGCCCCAGGAATTGGGCGCCAAAAATGCGCACACGAATGCGGCCAGCCTTTGGAAAAAGGGTCAGAAGAAGACCCTGAAGTGCTGGAGGCTGGAGGCTGTGGTTTCCCCCTTGAAATATCCTTCAAGAACAGTATGCCCCGGTTGTTATTTCATTTTTGATTGCACGACATTGCCTAGGCATGCATAGTCTGTGAAAATAGAAGGTGATAGAGCAGCTCATTCAGGTATCATTCTGTGATATGCAGCTTGACATTTCTAGACTTGTTCAGTTTAAAGTCGCAGGTTTCCTTTGTCTTAAGAGCATGGGATACACGAGTTTGGCGGTTCTAAACTCCTTGTTTGGTTAAAGCCACTTTAGTTTTGGGACATCATCCCACTGTTCGTTAAATCCGCAAGCTTCATCACGCGCGTTGCAAGAGGTCCACATCTACCGATCTTACTGGAAGGCTTTGCGAACTGGACTATCGAAGAAGGCCCGGCGCAGTCCATCATGGATATGGCCTATTTCAATGGGAAAAGATCGGTAGCATGTTTCCCCTTATAATATGATATGATAGGTTTTCAAATAAGACCTAATAATATATATAATATATAATATGATATAATATGATATAATTAGTATATAATATA